ATCACTGCTGGGTCAGGTTTCCTCCCTCTTCTTCACTTTTACAATTTATAGTCTTCTAGGAAATGATCGGTTTTCAAATTCATTGACATCAAGTGACGTATTAATTTCTCCTGATTTTTTTTTTAATTGTTCGCGTACATGTTTGCATCGCCCTTCTTAACCATTGTTTGCGATTTGGCTCTTTGCTGCCGCTCAGATTAGCCAGCGGTTTGTCCCTGTTGCTGGTCTCAGTGAACCAGTCTGTAGCTGTCCATGTCTTTTGTGGTGGTTGCTGTGCTTTTTTCATTCTCTTACTGATAGACTATTTTGTTTATTCTCCCCTTTTCTCAGCCTCTTGGGTTAGATGCTTAATTGATTTGGTTTCCGTCTTTCTTTTATCATAAAAGCATTTAAGGTCTGTATCTCCCTCCAAAAGCAGTTTGGTTACATTCCCCAGATTTTTAAAAAGCAGGGTTCTCAATGTCGCATATTTATAAATATCCTACAATTACAGTTTTGCGCCTCTTTGACTCCAGTTGTTTAGAACAGCATTTTTAAATTGTGTGCATAGTTTACTTTTTTTATTTTTTGCTGCTTGTTAATTTCTAGTTCTGTTGCATTGGGAACGGAGATTGTGGTATACATGTTGGAATTTGAGATTTTCTTGTAGTCTGCTACAAGGACATTTGAGAAAAAGATGTTTTCTCTGCTTCTTGCATCTAGATGAAGTTAAGCATTCAAACTATGTCTTCAAAGCCTCCATACTTTTCTTTGGCAGTTACTTGTACCATCAGACTTAGAGTAGTGTGTTTAAGACCTATATTGTTCTGTATGTGTCTTCTCCTTGTGGTCCTAAAACTATATTATTTCATATATTTTATGGTTCTGTGGTTCAGGGTGAAGGTAAGGTTCATGATTTTTGTGACTTCATGGAGAAACAGACCCATTAGCAATCTAAAATGTCCCATTTTATTCTATTTAACATTTTGGCATTTTGTCGGATATTAATACTAACTTTCCTACCTTGTTTTTGTTACCGTTTTGCTTGTTATGTCTCCTTGCCATTTTTTGAGTTCAACCTGTGTCAATTTGTTTTAAGTGTATCACTTCCAAACAGCATATGGCTGGATTTTTTTTCCCATTCAACCTAATCTGTTATCTTAAAATAGAATAATTTAATTTAGTAACATTTATTGATATGTTTTGGGCTTATTTTATGTCTTTTGGTTAAGATACTTTTTCCTTTCCTGTCTGGCTGTCCCTTTCCTAATGCTTAATTAACTGAATTAATTAATTGAATTTTTTGTCCCCCTGCCCACTCACACACAGTGGTTAAAACGTCTATATCTTATTTCATTTTCTAGAAATGGTTACCCTTAAATTAAGAAATTAAAACCCATGCTTCTTGATTAATGTCAAGAATTAAAGGGTATCTAATTCCCAATGAGATGAGCCCATTATTATCAACATTGGCTTAGATCTGACTGTACATTTTTCTACTTTATTGTTCATCACTGTTTCCTGTGTATCCTGTCTTGCGCTCTCTTGAATTACTTATTCTGATACAGTTTTTATTTTATTGTAGTAATTCCTTGAGTAATTGTTTTAAGAAGAGATAAGTGGGTGGCATGCTATTTTTAGTACTTCTCTCTTTGGCTTTGAGAGGGGGCAGAGTAACGGATCTTTTAACCCTTTTTCCTCAGAGCTCTGCAGTCTTTGTTGCCCTCTGGCAGTTAATGATGAGGACGTCAAGTCCAATGTCAATTTGATTCTCAAAATTTTGGGACAAAAGCTGCTCACTTGGGTAAGGGGCAACATCACCTCCATGGAGCTTTGGCATCTCCAGAGAAGGCAGGCAAAGTCGGGATTTGCTGAGGATTGAAAGTCTCCTTGAAAATGGATACGTCAATGTGGAGCTTCATCAGGATCATGCAAGGAATACAATCCAACAGGCTGGGACTGAGGGAAAGAGTGAGGGGGAATTTTGAGGCAAGGCAAGGGACTCAAAGAATCTTAGGATACAAACTATTGATTGACGGGCTGATGGATCCTTCAGGAGGTCTCTGTCATGAGCAGTCAAGCCATCTGTCAGGGCTAGAGTCTCCTGGAAGAAGAGGGCTGCTGATGAAGACAGTGAGGTGTGGGGTAGGTGGTTTCTGTCCTCCTCTCCTTCCTACTTTGGTCTCTTTGGAAACCCAAAGGATTCACTCATTATCCTTGGATTTCAGTAATTCCAGCCAGCGGGCCCTGCCCCAGCTCCCACTGCCTCTGAGCAGGATTCCCTGGGGATTTGGCAGGTGGGCCTTTGCCTGCCCCCCGGTGGGTGAAGCTGGCTTAGCTTTGATTCGATTTTCTATCATTCCTCGTCTGCTTTTCCTCAGACTTGCTGGCCAGCTGGTGCTACCCGAGAGATGTTCTTACTTGAACATTTCTCTTTATTTCACTGGTGTTGAGGGGAGAAGAGGTAAACACATGGGCTCCGTTTGCCGTGGAGAACCTCAGGTGTGTGTAACATTTCCTGGTGACCCGGGTGCAGGTGTGTCCGCCCGGCTCTCTCACCTGCTGCTGGAGGCCAGGAGTGGTGCTCGGGTGGTGTTGGCCCCACTGGGGGGGTTGGGGGCGGGGGGCAGTGGCTAGCTTCCTCCACCTGATCCGGTCCTCCCCTCCAGCCACACCTCTGGTCCCGACCGCATTACCTCACTGATTAAAAGGATTTGGTGGCCTCACTCCACTGTGAGATCGAGTCCAGGCCACTCCGTATACCAGGTTCTCCCCCTGATCAGCTCTTGCCCCTCATTTCCAGCCATACAGACAGCATGCAACTTGTCGAACATTCCACCACTTTGGGGTCTCCTGTCTACCTACACTTCTTACCATTTGAAATACTCTCTCTTTCTCTCATACATTCAGACACCGTCAGAATTGACCACTCTTTTCTTTATGCCTTCAGGGTGTAGTTAAGCTTCTAACCCGCGACTCTGTGCGTTCCTTCGTTCCTGGCCCCTCCCCCCACCATTGTGGTCCCCTTGAAGGCAGGGACTGAATCTTGACTCTTTCGTGCCCAGCACTTACTACTGGGCTTGACCCAAAATAGGTGCTGCATGCGATATCTGTTCCATGAATGAGCCACCCAGTTAGGTCCTACAGAGAATTGTTCTACACCAACGGTGCGTGAGACCCTGTCCCAGTCTCCAGGGGTGGGGAGTGGCTTGGACTGAGCCCGCCGAGGTGTGTGCAGTCACAGGGCCTGCAAGACTCCCAGAGTCTCTGTGCATAGCAGGCATTGTTATTTATCTTAAGAGGCACCACAAATGTACTCTGGGTCTTGCGGGGAGGCAGGACTTACGTCCAGTTGTCGGGGGGCTGGCTGAGCCTTTTGAGGAAAGACAGGCAGGAGTTGGCCCGGTAGGCATGGTTGTGAGGGGGAGGGCGGTAGCAGTAGCCAAGGCTCAGAGTTGGGGAATTGTGGCCTGTGTTCAGAGGATAGCATGTTTTAAGAAATGAGTGCTGCCACACGGGGAGGGATGGAGCACAGCTGTTTGTATTAATAATTGAGATCTATCAGAGCCGGGTGGGTGATGAACACCAAGGAGTGGTGATGGGGCTGATGAACACCAAGGAGTGGTGAAAAATTTAGATGCTTTGGATGACAGAATCGGGACATGATAGACGGAGGCCCTGTGTGGTCGTGTGATGCTGCCCTGGGGTGGGGGGCGGGGCTGGCTGGATTCTAGAGCAGCAGGTACAGCGGCGAGGGGACAGCACCGTGGCTTTGGCTACATGCACGCTCTGGAGGAATCCGCAGTGGGATGTGGTTGCCGGAAGACTAATTCTTCCAAGGCTGTGCTACTAAAAAGCACAGTGCCCCAGAGAAGGAAGGGGACAGTGCCCCAGGCTCGTGTGCAGGTTACTCCAGACCTAGATCACTGGGCACGCTGTGGGACCATGAACGCTGAATCATGAGAACCCTGGGAGGCACTTGCCATTCTTAGCAAGTTGACTAATAAAGACTGGTGCTCGTTCATTCATCCACTGACCGGTAATCATGGTTGAGCCCCTGCCCTAAGCCAGACCGCCTTTGGCCTTGAATGCGCTGTTTAGTGATTTGGGGAGTACAGTGTGCTCTTGGGTCTACTTGTTGGATTTAATTTTCTCCCAGGCCTGAATATAAATCACTTGTGCTGGTGGTATTGGTTTTCCCTCACTGTATAACAAAGCATCTCAAACTGAGTGGCACTCATTTCTTAGCTCACAGTTCTAGAGGTGGGAAGCCTGGTACAGAGAGGCTGGATTCTCTGCTCAGGGATGAAATCAAGGTGCCTGTGAGCTGAGCTCTCATCCTGAGGCTCTGGGGAAGGTTCTGCTTTTCCAGGCTCATTCACTTGTTGTGGGAATCCAGGTACAATCCAAGATTCCAGGTAGGACTCAGGTCCTGTTTTCTTGCTGGTTGTCAGCAGGGGGCTGCTCTCAACCCCGAAAGGTGGACCCCAGTCCTTTCCACATGCCCTTCCATCTTCAAGGCAGCAAACTTACAAGTCAAATCCTCCTGATTCTAATCTCCATGACTTTCTCTTCTGCTACCAACCAGAGAAAATTCTGCTGTTAAAGGACTTTTTTGGTTAGGTCGAGCCCATGGAACCATCTGTTTTGAGATCAGCCATGCCCTGTAACATAACCTAATCACGAGAGTAAAGTGCACCATATTCACGGTCCTGGGGATTATGCAGCATGCATGCACCAGGGGGACGGGATACCTTGAGGGCCATCTTGGAATTCTGCCTACTTACTGGTGGAGAAATAGGGGCTCTGAGAAGTTAGGTGCCATGTGCAAGATACAAGAGGGCACAAGGGCCACCTCGCCATGCTGTCTCCCCAGGGGATGTGGGGATCTAGCCCAGGACAAGCAGCTTGGGAGGCGCTGTGGGGGCCTAGGCCTCCTGCAACCAGGCAGAGATTGTTCTGTGTCTGAGGAAGTTGACCAAGCAAACTCTTTGACCGTACTTTTCAACCATCCCCTGCAGGATTCAAGGCACCAACCTGGCAGCCTCTAACTAGTTCATGGCGGAGCCTCAAGAGATACTGGCCAGGCCAGCTCTCCCTTCCAGAGGGCAGAGCAGAGCATGAGAGGAAGGCCACGCAGCAGAAGTGGACATGAAAGCTGGTTTCCAAAGAGAACAGTGTTTTAGTTTTGGTCATCGAAAGTGGTGCCTTCAGCACAGGTAAGAAATGGGCTGTCGGGCGCCTGGGTGGCTCAGTCGGTTAAGCGACTGCCTTCGGCTCAGGTCATGATCCTGGAGTCCC